TTTTTTAAAAGAACAAGTCTGCCCTAAGAGTTTTAAAATTACAGGTAAGTTATAGCATATTTTATACATCAGCTAAAAAATAAAACCTTTTCATGAAAATACACATTTCTAAAGCATTACAAACATTTCTACTTATTGCTATTAGCTTGTTAAAGACCTGCAACAGTACAGTAACTTGCAGGACAAAGCAACTGCTTAACTTTCCAGCATGAATTTAATCTCACAATCCCTGTTTAAAAACAATACAGAAACACTTATTTAATCTAAAACAAACACCTTGTTTAGTCTGGAGGCATTGCAGGGGATGCTCCAAAGCTAACTATACATACCACTATCGAAAGGGCAAAACGAAGTCCCATTTTTAAATGTATTTACATACTCAGTTGATCTTCCCCAGAAACTAGGTTAATTACTTCCCGCAACTGGCCAAAATTCAACATGCATTTGTGTTTATGTGCAACTGTATTACGCCCTTTACTTCATTTTACTTTTACAGAATAACATAAGAAAGCACAAGCCTGGTAGCGGGGATCACTGGAATCAAACAGCCAGGAAAATGAGCACAGCTCAGTCTGATCAGGGCAGCAATGCTGGTGCCACGCTGGAGCTGCTGCTGTGCCCAAGAAAGGGCTTTTTAGGCTCAGCTTGTGAGCGCATTAGTTTGTGCCCCCAAACGGCTTCGCAAAAACTCCATTCCCAGGAAATTGTTGGGAGACCATCTCCTCTGAATGCCCTTACACCCACTTTAGGAAAGCCAACACAACAATCACTAGATGCTCTGTGTTAACACGAAGAGGCTTAGGGCGCTCGAGCAGCTTGTTCCCACTTCCGTGCCAGCGTAACTGCATGCAGGCCAGGCTTTAAACGGGACTGCGGAGCTTGGCTCTGGATTAACGATGGCAGCTAAAAGAAGACACTTCAGTGCGCCTGGTTTTATTCTGTTCTTTTTCATTCAGGCCTTTTTTTAGTTCAGAGTGCAGTTCTGCAGACACTTAGCATGAGGCAAGAGTACGTCGGCAATAGAAACAGGAATCTCGCACCAATTTCCACACTGAAGAAAATCTGCAAGGAATTTTATACCTTGGCGTAATAAGAGCTGGTTTAGCTCCAGGCAAAAGAAAATACTCGCAAGAGCTCTCCCAGGGCAAGGCTGCACAGGGGTTAGGCTAGAGCAGAGGGCAGCGGGGAGCAGTCACCACCTGTGTCCAAACACCAAATGTAGGCGGGATCCTTCTACAATCTCAGTTGCTTTTATGGATTTGGCAGTAAATTATCCAGTGTAAATCCACACACCAACGTGCATCCACACTTCCAGCTGCCCCATCCTATTCAGTATTATCTTGATGTCTTCAGGTCAAGTAATTACAGGGAGGAAATGTTCACTTCTCCCCAAACATGGTACATACAATTGAGCCTTCTGCCCCTTGGTGTTAGGTGAGGCAGCAGCTTGATTTGGCCAAATAGTAGGGTGTAAGTAGCTTGAAGTATGTCTGCACAGTTCAGCTGAAGAGAGATGAAACTCTTGACCCTGCCTATTACATGTAACATTCACCTCCTGTATCTGAACAAGCCCCTAGAAAACTTTCAGGTATACATGGATATTCTTGAATGTGTTTACAAGGGACCAACCTACAATGAATCTACTTTTCGGTGCATACCATTAAATATTACACCCCAACTTACTTTAGAGGCTCCATAGATTGTGAACATTGGTGTCGGCTGGCAACAGGACGCAGAAGAAATATTCACAATTGCTCCTTTCTTCTTCTCTACCATGCCTGGCAGTACAATATGTATCATCATGTTAGCAGAAACAATATTTATGTTGATCATTTCCCACAGCATATCGTCAGACAAGTTGGTAAAATAGTCCGGGTAGGGATAAAACATTCCTACATTATTCACCAAAATGCCAATTTCTCTGTCTTTCAGAGCCTCCTTAATGGCTGGGTAAGGCTCACGCCCCTTGCTGAAGTCCGCAACTATGAAATCTGTTTCCACTTTATAGGTTTCAGATATGCTTCTAGATACAGCCTCCAGCTTCTCCTTGTTTCGGCTAATTAAGATGATGTTGACACCACGTTTTGCCAGTTCTTCAGCATACGCCTTCCCGATACCATCGGTGCTACCTGTAAAAGAAAATAAAAAACTAAAGTGAAAATCAGAGCAGCCCCAGCCTTCTCTTCTGCCAGTTCATTCAATTATAGGTTTATTCGACTTCTCTGAGGATCATGTAGCACCAAACATGGTGATCTCAAACCCACAACAATAAAGACAAAGTTGTCATAGAATCATTTAGGTTCGAAAAGACTTTTAAGATCATCAAGTCCAACCACTAACCTGGCAATGCCAGGTCCACCACTAAACTACATCCCTGAGCACCGCATCCACAGGGCTTTTAAACACCTCCAAGGATGGTGGCTCCACCACTGCCCTGGGCAGCCTGCCTGGCAACGCTTTCAGTGAAGAAACTTTTTCTAATATCCAAAAAACATGAAGCCGTTTTCTCTTGTCCTACTGCTTGTTACTTGGGAGAAGAGACCAAGCCCCACCTTGCTACACGCTCCTGTCAGGGAGTTGCAGAGGGCGAGAAGATCTCACCTCAGCCTCTTCTTCTCCAGGCTGAACGACCTCAGCTCCCTCAGCCGCTCCTCAACACAATTGTTCTCCAGACTCTTCACCAGCTTTGTTGCCCTTCTCTGGCCCCGCTCCAGCACCTCAATGTCTTTCTTGCAGTGAGGGACCCAAAACTGAACAGAGGATTTGAGGTGTGACCTCACCAGAGCTGAGTACAGGGGTAAAACCACTGCCCTCGTCCTGCTGGCCACACTACTGATACAGTCCAGGAAGGCACTGGCCTTCTTGGCCACCTGGGCACACTGTTGGCTCGCCTTCAGCAAGCTGCCAACCAAAACTCCCAGGTCATTTTTTGCCCGGCAGCTTTCCAGCTACTCTTCCCCAAGGCTGAACTGCTGGAGGTTGTTGCAACCCAAGTGCAGGACTTGGCACCCAGCCTTGCTGTACCTTATACGACTGGCCTCGGCCCACCGATGCAGCTTGTCCAGGTGCCTCTGTAAAGCCTTCTTACCCTCCAGCACATCAACACTCCTGTGCAACTTGGTGCTGTTCACGAACTTACTGAGGATGCACTTGATGCCCTCGTCCAGATCCTTGATAAAAACATTAAGCAGACCTGGCCCCAACACTGAGCCCATACCAAAAAAAGATCTTGTCTGATCTCTGTCTACACTTGTATGCGTTTGGTGCGATTCTTTCCCAGCAGTCAGTCAACACACAGAACTTGCCTGTGTCCTAAGGAACTGAATTGAGTAAAGCACTGAACAACTGCCACCGCTCAGGCAGATTAACTCACAACCTGAGACGACGCAGACCCCAGTTTGTGACCCAAAGCTCACCCAGCAGTATAAACTAGCAAGTTTAACAGTACTAGCACAGTCAATATATGCAAATATACTGCTTCAGTCTCTTACCAGTGACCACGGCCCATTTTCCATACCGCTTGACAATATCGATCTCGCCTCCCAGCTTTGGAATTACATGCAACCTCAGCATGCCATAGGTGCCAAACGCAAGCGACACACACTTTCTGACTGTGTACCAAGCGCCAATTATAGCCAGGGCCTCTACGTAAAAACTGCACGAACGACTGATCTCTCTGTACAAGAGGAAGAAGCGATCCACTGCAGCCATGGTGATCACAAGCCTGGGGAAAAAAAAAAGAAAGCCACCTCTTAGGCCGTGTAAATCTTTCAGAATGAATGGACAACCTTTAAGATTCAGCATGTTACAATCTGAGCACCATTTTGATGCAGAAAAGGCACAGATCAGCCTGCTAAAGTTTGGGTATCGCCTACCATCACCCTCACTGGTTTAGCTCTTGTTCAAGGGTTTAGTTCCTAATCAGTTATATGCAGCGACACTGGTCAGTGATACTGTAAATTAAACAATCCAAGTCCGAGCAGGGAAGGGGAGATCGAGAGACATAAAAACTACTTTGGGAAGATTAAGATCTGCCTGCGAAAGAGGCAAGGATAACCCGCAGGAGGGAGCTCAGCACGTAAGAAATGTGCTCTTCCAAGCGCAGAAAGCCACAGGAGGGACAGAGAAAGCTCAGAGACAGAAGCACAACTTCGGTCCCCGGCACCATCACCCAGCGCTTGCCCAGCGAACACACCGCATCTGCCGCGTCTTTCGCCTTTG